CTCTCGCTCTACTCTCTCTCTGTCTCTCGCTCTTCTCTCTTTCTCTCTTCTCTCTCTCGCTCTCTCTCATTCTCTCTCTCCGTCTCTCTCACTTCTCTCTCTCTCCCTCTCATCTCCTCTCTCCTTTCTCCTCGTCTCTCTCTCTCTCTCTCCCCCTCTCTCTCCCCCATGAACTCTTCCCTCTCCCCTCGTCCACGCCTCTTCTCATTTACCCTTTTGAAACCTCCAACCTCTAACTTTGACAAATACATTTCCTCGCCCTCCCTCCCCCTCCCTTTCCCACCCCTCATCCTCTCCCTCTTGAAACCTCCCCCCTTTCCCCATTTCCCTCCTCTTCCACCCACCCCCCCCATATCCCTTACGCGTCTTGATCCCTACCTCCCCTGTCCCGCCCTTTCGACGCCATGAATCCCCCTACTTGAACCTCCCTCTCGACCTCCCTTCCTCCCCCTTCTCCCTCCCCCATATCACCTCTTGAACCCCTACCCCCTCTCGCCCTCCCCCATACCTCCTTTTTTCCTACCCCCTTGCCCCTCATCCCCCATCTCCCCCTTGAACCCCTACCTCCCTTCCCCATAATCCCCCTCTTGACCCACCCTACCGCCCTTCTCCCCTCCCCTCCCTCCCCTGCCTCCCTCATGACGTCATCAGAGCCAGCATTGCCCGGGCGGCGGCGGGGGCGGTGGTGGCCAGGCGGGCCCAGGAGGACAACGGTTGATCAGCTGTGAATAATCCCTTTAGGCGAAGGGGGGGGGGGGGGTCTGGTAAAGGAGGGGAGGGGAGGGTGTCTGGTAAAGGAGGGGCGGGGGCGGGAGAGTGGGTAGGGTGAGGAGGAGAAAGGGGAGGTGGGTGGAGGTGAGGGGAGGGCGGGGAGAGTGAAGGGAAGGGGGGAGTGGGGGTGAAGGAGGGGGGGAGTTGGGGGGGATGATGGGAGGGAGGAGAGGGTAGGTTTAAGGGTGGGAGGAGAGGGGGGGAGTTAGGGGTGATGAGGGAGGGAGGGGAGAGCGAAAGGAGGAGAGGATAGGTTTTAGGGGTGGGGAGGAAAGGGAGTCTGGTGGGGATGAGGGAGGGGGTAAGGTGGGGAGGAAGGGCGGAGGGAAGTGGATGGGAGTGAGGGAGTTTAGAGGGGTGGGGAGAAGGGGAGGGAGAGACGGGGTGAAGGGTGAAGTGAGAGGAGAGGAAGGCAGTGAAGTGGGAGGGTGGGGGAAGGGAAGTGGGAGGGGTGGAGGTGATAGAGGAAGAAGGGGATGCGGTAGGAGGTATGAAAACAGGAGGAAGAGGAGAGAAGGAGGAGAAGAGACGAGGAAGAATAGAGAAAGGGAGAGGAAGAGAGAGAGAGGTGGGGGTGAGGACACTCACTGGGGGGGGAGGGGGGATTAAGGGCTAAGACAAGCTTATGAGGGAAGAGAGAGAGGGGGTGTAGCTGGAAGCAAAGATCAGGCCAAGATCATAGGCCTTTGTGGCACCCTTTGGCACTCATCAGAGGGAGGGGGGGGGGCACGGGGCTATCGTGTGGAAAGCCGAAACGGGGAAAAGGGATGATAAAACCTAGGCAGAGAGAAATGGGAAATAAAAGGACAGATAAGTGTTAAAACAGGAAAATAAGATTATAGAATCTACATCAAATTATGGTGAATATGAGGAAGAGAAGAGGAGGTGAGATAGTAAGAAGAGACAGAGGAGAGGGAAAACAGGAGAAATGGGAGAGGGAAGAAAAAAAGATTGTGGAATGGAGTAAGAAAGCAGAGGAGAAAGAAGAGGGAGGAAAAGGGGAAAGAAGAGTAAGAAAGCAGCGGAGAAAGGAGGGAGAGAAGAAAAAAAAGAAAGAAGGGATAGGGAAAGGGAGTAAGAAAGCAAAGGAGAAAGGAGAGAAGAAAAAAAAAGAAAAAAAAAGACGAGACAAGGAAAAATAAAATAAAAGACATAAAGAGGAGGAAGAAGCAGACCAAAAAAAAGGATAAGACACAGGGAGGGCGTAAGAAGACCAGAAACAGGAATAAGAGACAGACATAGCAGAGAATAAAGATACACGGAGAGTTAAAGAAGACCATAAACACGGAAGAAGACCAGAAACAGGAATAAGAGACAGACATAGCGGAGAATAAAGACACGGAGAGTTAAAGAAGACCAGAAACAGGAATAAGAGACAGACATAGCGGCGAGAACGGGAAGGGAAAAGGAGGTCAGTCAGAGGCGGAAGTTATAGATAAGACAAAAAAAGGATAATTAAAAGACACAAAGGGATGGTTTAAGAAGAGCAGAAACAGGAATAGAGAGACAGACAATAGCGGGAGAAAAGCGGAAAGGAAAAGGAAAGGTCCGTCAGAGGCACATTAGCACGGGAGTTCAAGCGACCGGGTTTATGAGTCGTCGCCATTTTTGCTCTTTAGGGTAAGTAGCGGTGACCTCGCTTGCCCTCCCTCCCCTACCCTCCCCCTCCCCCTTCCCTTCCCCAACCCGCGGTGACCTTGGAGGACGGTGGGGACGAAAGAGAGTGAGAGTGGGAGTGGAGTGGGAGAGGGATAATGGAAATAGAAAGAGGAAGAAGAGAGGGAGAGAGAGAGATATACGAGAGATAGAGATAGAGAGAGAGAGAGATAGAGATGAGAGAGATAGAGAGATAAGAGAGAATAGAGATAGAGAGAGATAGAGAAAGAAGAGAGATAGAGATAGAGAGAAAGAGTAGATAGATAGATATATAGATATATATAGATAGATAGATAGATAGATAGAGAGAGAGAGAGAGAGAGGGAGAGAGAAGAAGAGAGAGAGAGAGGAGAGAGGAGAGAGAGAGAG